ATGTTAAAAAACTCACCTACAACGTTTAACTCAGTATGTACCAGCTTTACAACCATTCCCTTCCCCCACTCGAAGTGCAACCACAAATAATTCCAACAGTAGGGACCCATAATATTTTACGATACCCGTTTTATAACCGTGAAGAAAGTAATCTTGCTTACTGAAGAACGGGCGTAAAATAGATTACTTCATGTCAAATAGGCGCCTTAACATGCTTCTTCCATCTTAAAAAGTATTTTTTGCCGTATAAAATCTGAAGTGTTTAGAATTATAAATATGCTAGCTTTCGCCGGCGTCTATGGTCGCGTGGATTTAAAAAAAAACGAAAGTGAGTAGCCTATGTGTTCTTCCAGACAATCGTCTATGCCAAATTTCATCGAGTTCCGTTCAGCCGTTTAGGCTACACACTCTAAGAAACATCCATACATCCATCTAAACATTCACATCAATAGTATTAGTAAGATTCAACCTTACTACATAAATGTTGTCATCACTCAGGTAGAATATTCATCTATAATATTGAAAAAAAGAACAAATCCTTAATGTTGGCACATCCATTCAACTTCCTCTAATATTTTATGACTAAAAGAAGTTTAACAATCATCATAATTACAATAAAACATGAATCTGGTAAAACAACAACACGAATGTATCAAACGATTTCATTTATACTGTGATATTCGCAAGTTTCTCGCCGTCCAATTTTATGCAGTTTTTGAAAACGGCAAAAGGTTAAAACACTTCCGCGTAGTTTGAACCTCTCACGTGACTCGCGCCAGTCAAAAGATCATTGTCCCGAGAATTGTGAGAAACGCCCTCTAGCGGAGAGGGCGGAAACGCTTCAAAAATGACGGAGTCAAGTATAAAGACCTTTTAGACCGCGCTGAAAGTTCAAGTAAAGCAAGGCTTGTACCAAAAATACCTATTTCAAGTTAAAACAAAAATCTTACCAAATATATCTAAACTAATTTTATTGACTTCTATTGATTGCATAGTTCTAAAGTACACCAAAAAAGATAAATTAAAAACTTTTAATAGTTTTTCAAATATGAAATAGCAAACACTGAGAAAAGGCAAATCAAATGCAAAATTCAAGAACAAGTATGGAAACTTTTGCAAAATGAATGAAAATAATTTTTCAACTCTTCCAGTGAGAACGGTATCTAAGAAAACGTTTTCATAATTGCACCTCAGGGAAAAATGGCTTGCGATTTGCCTGCGCCTGAATGTTACTTTGTGTTACGTCGCACTTGTTCTCGTACGTATGTTTATTAATAAATATAAAAGAAACTTTTCACTGCGTCATGTGAATACATAAAAACAAAGTATAGCTTGTCTGTGCTTACTAGGTTTTTTTTCTAGCTCTTGATTCTACAGCAATAAATTAAAATTTTACTTGAACAAATATTATTAAGTAAAATTCTTTCAAGAATAACAAAGTAGTGAAATTACGCATTTCATTTCCTGTAATATCATTTATCTATAGAAAAAAATAATAAAAACACATAGAAGAAAGCATTGTAACAATAACAATACAACTATTTCAAGTTTTATAATATTGTTACGTTATTGCATCAGTCTCAAAGGGTATAGGAAACAGCCCGAAGCGGTTTCTTATCAAAATAACATGCGGTTACATGGTTAGGAGAGAAATAAAAATATATCTTACTGTTGTCTCAGTCTCAGAGGAACTAAAGCGATTTACTTCAACTATAAAATCACTCGTACCCAGTTTCCGAGTTAGGAACGTGCCACACTAGCGGCGAAATGGCGGTGCTACAACGCTTCTGCGCTACGCGGTAAATGGTGTGAATCGGCACAACGACAATGTTACGACAAAGTACAGCAACCTGCCACATTTAACGTCCATTAATCAATGCTAAGGATGTCCCGTACCGTAGATTGTGTACAAGAATAGTTCACTGAGGGAGACTTGAGTAATCATTAATTTATCTATACTATTATAATAAAGCGTAAACACACACTTCTTTGTTGCCGAAGATGTCAGCAATTACAGCATATTTTTGAATAATATGTTTTTTTAATAAAAAGCCCTACACTTACGTCACGCTTTAGGATATGTATTTTAACGCCATTTAACTTAGGGGTAAATATTTTGAATAAAAACCCTAATGTGGGAAAGAGACCATACGATACGAGCTACCAACATCAAGAAGCAAAATTGCCATAGTAAGGTAATTGGTATTTTGACATTTGCAATTGAGAATTTGACATATGTAAACAAAGAAATAACATTTTCATAATTTAGGTCGCACGGGAACAGCTAGTTCTTATTAACAGTAGTCTCTATATGACAATAGACTTGACTTCGAATTAATAAAAAAAATTAAGCAACGCTGCTCCAGTTGTGTGGATGTTCTTTACGTTTCGCTCAGCTCCGTTTCAAATTTTGTTACATTTCAGATATTCTATAGACGAGTACGTGTCATATGTGGAGGATATTCGTGTCCTATGCAACATTTTAATTTCATTTTCAAAAGAAAGTTGTTACGAAATAAAATTGGATCCTTTTATGCGCATACATTAAGCGACGCATTTAAAAAAATAAATTTTGCGATTCAGCGCCAGCTGGTGTGCTGAGCGGGTACAGTCATGTCGAAAACAGATTGCGTTCAACGTGTTTATAAAATGGGTACGCTATAAATGTATTTTTCATTCCGCATAGTTAAATACAAAAGCTAACAGTTTCATTACCGTTTAAAAATGACAAAGCCACCAACAAACTTGGTCTCAAATGTTACTTGAAGTTTATCAATATAAATATTTTACATTTATGCGTATGTATGACATTTATGATAAGTTAGATAAATAGTTATAATAAAAGTAAACATACAAGAAAATTAAGACTAAAGGGTTCAGCTGCAGACTGCCTTTACAAGATCGCCACTTCACTCTCAGTTGTAACTCCGCAATATGCTCTTTGCTCCATCTTGTCCAGAAATGTTGTCGTGTCGTTCCTTGAGGGTTACTGAATCTAACGGTAGTCTTAATTCCTTGTAGTAGTAGGATAAGGCAGGGGAGATGATGAAACAAGAAAATGTAAACAAGTTATTACTTGTTAATGCTATTGCATTTGCAAATGCTATTACCAACCTATTACACCGAGCCCATAGAATTGAAAGTATTCGGCAATTACAAAAGTTTTAGTTCCCAGAAATTCTGCTGCTGCTTTTCTTTATGTATATTTCATTTAAAAGAAAATCACTCATCATTTTTGCTGCTTCAACAAATAAGTTGTTTATACGGCTCGTAGAAACTTTTCTTTTGACTTCAAAGATTCAAAACTCTGTACAAATTTAATTAAAACTACAAAGTCATGTAAAAATCGATACCTTAATTAATGGTTGGTATTCTTTATTTTTCTGTTACAAGTGTACTATATACGAGCTGCTTGTGGCCAAAGTGAATTTTGGTAGCTCTGTACACAATCATCACTTCAACTACATTGATAAATAACATTTATTTTTTATTTTTCATAATATACAGTCATGAGTAAAACAAGATATATAAGTTAACAAAGACAATACAAACAATGCTTTAAAATTATGGACCCACAAAAATCTCAAAACAAAAGAATTTTCATTCAAAAATTGGACGTTAACGAACAAATTTTTAATCAGGATACAAATCACAACAATTGCATTTCGATGCGACATTGTTAAAGTCATTCTGGTTCCCAAGCTTACTTTCACATCGGATACAATAGCATCCCCACACAATAGCCTCTTTCGACAACCCTTATTACATTTCTCCCAATACACGAGCCCTCTATGTGGCTACCACTTCATACCGAGCCATTAGAAGTAAGTGCCACTTGGCGAATCGAACGCAACCTGAAGTTAATTGACAGCAAACTAAGAACGGAAGCAGTAACTAAAAACGAAAACACACTTGTTATATTATTTTTTGAGATGTAAAACCAAATAAATGAGGCTAACCATGAGTTTTCCTTCGTGTTAAATTAAAATTGTTAGAATTGACTCATAATACGAATAAGTCTAGAAGTATGTTGTGAAAAGTATACGTCTTCGCTACAGTCAGTTAAACTAAATATAGATTTTATACTCTGCTTTTTATTGGTTAAAGAGGTAATCCGTCTTGGTCTTGATGCTTCTTACTTATTGACGCTTCAATTAGAAGCGTAGTTTTAAGTCATTTAAACGTTTCACGTTAAAAATTGAGGGGCAAAATGTACTCATGAAGTTACCGTAAAATCTATTTAAATAAGCAATACCTCTTAGAATAAATGAGCATGTGTGTATATGTGTAAAAAAACAATCTTACTATTATATTTACATAAATGCAAATTTTGGATGTTTGTTAGAATTTGTAGCCTAAACTGTTAAACGGATTTCGTTGAAATTTGGTATAGATGTAGAGGATAGTCTGAAAGAACACATGGGCTACTTACTTAGTTTTGTTTTTTTTTATTCCATGCAGATAGAGTCACAGACGAAATCTAGTAAGTATTGGACAGAATCTACGCAGTCTGACGCTGTTTCTACTTATATGTATTGTAGTTAATTTATATTTCAAAGTCAATGAGACATTTTACATTTAAATTATCTTGAAACAAAATGTTGAATGTCTCTAATATGCGAGTGACGTTTTAATTGATTGTGTTCCGATGTAAAGAGCATCTGTTACCCCGGTAATTGAATTGTGAACCCTGGATCCGCGTGTGCGTCAACCACGTTTTCGTTTCGGGGACTGATTGGCCAATTACGATAGCTGCTTTGAAATTCACTTTGACCGTTCTAGAACTTTCCCCGCAAATCCTATTGGAACTGCTCTTTACCTTTTGATAATTGACTTATTAAAATATTGTACATAAATTAAACATACCAATTATCTTCAATTTCATTTAAATTAAGTAAGAGACTGAATTATATTATATCTAAATACCAACAGGAAAACCCTTCATTAAAACACAATTGTTATAGAGTAAACAATAATTAAAAGTGTCATTTTTATTCCATGAATTGATCGTTTTAGTAGTTAAAGGTAAGGACTAATGGTATCATCAATTTTGAATGAGCATGATACAATTAACCGTGGATTTCCACTACCGAAAAACTGAAGTAAAAAATATGCACATCCCTTTTATTCCCTATGAAAAAAAGAGAGAGCAATATTTATTGCTAGCGTCAACAATAAAAGTCTACAGTTATGTTAATTACCTGCAACCAGAACTACTTAATACGTCAATTAACAACATAATATGTTTGTGATTTCGATTGGATCCTCAGTCGCATTTTTCTCATATTTGAAGACTGTCGTATCGTAAAGTGATATGTGAGTTGGAGTTTGGTGAACCACGAACAATTTTAACAATGAAAAAGCTAACAAGTTTAACAATAATAATCAATTTAATTTGTGGTGCTGCTTCACAAGGTATTTTATTGATTTGCGCTAAAATTCATGTTTTACTAGCTTTTGCTAGGGAATTCGTCCACGCAGAGTTGTAGAACAAAAAGTAAGTAGTCTATGTTAATTGTTCTACGCCTTTGGCAAATTTAATCGAGATCCATTGAGCCGTTCTGAATATACCTTCCAACAAACATCAGTTCACCCATCTAAACTTTCGCATTTATAGTAAGAAGTAAGATTTAATAAAGTTATAAATCGTTAGTAAGCGCTTTATTATCTAAGCCAATAGGAGTTTAAAACTGAAAAACGGAGCATTTAAATTACGTTTATGGAAGTAAACAAAATAACTACGTTAATGAAACAGTATTTTTTTCAGAGTATTGTTCACTATGTGTTCGCACAGACAACTGTCCATATTTCAACAAGATGCAAAGAAACGACCAACGAAAATGGCTGAATAAATTCTCTTGCGGCCAATACTTTGACAGCGATTTTTATAAATCCAACACTGACTTCAGAGGATATTACGTAATTTCATTTCATTATCACTCTAAGAGCGGGCGCACACCTTTGAATAAACTATCTCACAACTGTGGTGCGATTGTCGATTATTTTGCAGCACATTCAACTGTTTAGTGGCACAAATGAACATCGATTAGTATGCGCACCTTGCTTAAGGAATTAAAATGCGACTATACAGTTGTGTGATAGTTTCTTTAAAGGTGTCTGCGTAGTCTAACAGCTGATATAGGGATACCCAATGACCAAATCTCTGCATCATTATAACATTATATTATTGATGCGAAATTCGGTAAAAGGTCAAAAATCAAACCACTTTTAATGCACTTACTAAAAACCAGTTTTAAAATATTTTTTATTATCAAACCACAACAAGTATCTTGGTGCCGGTTTGTGTTGTTGAAAAATATAAAGCAAGAAAAAAGATGTCAAGGTCAAATAGTAAAATTTATTGACAGTTAATATAGTAATGGAAAACTTGTTTGCTAAAGTAAATTTCTAAAACGTAACATAAGTTATTCTAATCAAATTTTAGATATGTTGCTCTGGCGAACATGCTTGGAGCATCCTCAACGAACCAAAATACCATGATTATAAAAACATGCCTGAATATTTGTCATACACGAGAAGAATATCCTCTGTAAACGAAAATGATAATAGAAATAATTTAGCAAAGTTGATACAATCACCAATATTACCAAACCAACGAAGACCAGCCATTTCAAACCAATATCCTTGTGCAAATTCTGCATGTATAAATCAACCAGGCACAAATAATAGAGGAATTACTCCGCCAAATTTTGCCCAAGCTCCAAGACCAGGTAGACCAGATGTGAGTTTGGGTAGTATCACAAGAACCATACCACAACAATGTCAAGCTTCTAATTTCCCACCAAATCCTAATACAGGTTGTTGTGGAGTAGACACATTCGGAATAAATGGAGTAACTGGTAAGTATTTACTAAATACTCCAATGCCTAAACACAATGTTTACATTATGATAGCTCGAAAATTAAAAGTAAGTAAATCATGATTTATTTTTACAGATGCACAAACAGTGGTTGCTGGGATGGCTTATTTGCCATTGAGTAACACAAGAATGAAACGACAATCTGATAATGATAAAGTAGAGATAGAATTGGATAATCGTATTGCAGGTATGTCAGTTAAGTGAATTTGAACAAAACACATTCGAAAGTAGTTCTCATTCAGATACAAGGGCATCATAAACAAAAGTAATGTGCACTTTTTTAATTACCAGGTGGTACCGAAACTGAGCTCAACCAGTTTCCTTGGACAATACTACTAAGAGCATCCTTTGATTTCGGCAACAATGTAACTAATTTCGATTGCGGTGGAAGTATTATAAGTTCGTGGTATATACTGACTGCAGCGCATTGCGTCGTCACAGATGGCGCCACACTTACTAAGTAAGTAATTTTGGTTGCGAATCAACGTACAATTTCTACAGTTAAATATTTTGTTAATAGCATAACACTGGATGAAAAACATCTTAGGAATCACTAGATGATGAGGTCATGAGACTGCAGGAGCTCTGAGTCATAGATTTGGACGAGGGGATGCGGCGCCATAAACGAAAAGTGACTCTTAGTATCCATAGCATAGGTTAACTTCGTGTCGATATGCCATTCTGATCACTTAGTCACGAAATAAATGTCAATATATTTGATCGTTACAGTGTCGACATATACATGGCCGAATACGACAAGCGCACATTCCCGACGGACTGCAGATTGAGTCCCAACGGTCAGAGGTCGTGCATCAATAACGTGGTGGTTAAGGCAGATAGTGTGACTCCGCACGCCGCATTTAATAGTAAAACCCTCAATAACGACATTGCTCTCATACGTCTTCGTGAACCGGCTCCTTACACTGGTAAATATATTTATAATTCTTTTTACATCAGTCTTCTTCTACTTAGACACCTTTTTTAAAATTAAAATATACCGATAATAACCCTTTAACTCCTACCTTTTTGATATAATAATAACCTCTAGAAACTCACCGTTGTTATCTCTCCCGTCGTAATCAGTAAATTATGCAGATACGGATACGAAAAATCTCTCAAACGAAATCCTATCAATCAAGCTCTATTGAATTTAAAATTTTCAACTAATCAAGAGATTGATTCTTGTAAGCGATTATTTTACTCGATCCGATTAGGAAGCATTGGCAATACGAGCTAAATTGTACTATATCGATTGACACTTCATTTCAGAATTTATAAGACCAATATGCTTACCGCCATTAAACATAAACAGCGACGCATTCTTCGGCTTGCCCTTGTCTGTCGCTGGCTGGGGTCGTAACGGGCAGTTCGCATCAAACGTCAAACAATCAACAGTCCTGAACCTGGTACCTCGAAATCAATGCCTTAAATACTACCCATATCTACAAGCTTCTCATATGTGTGCGATGGGTAAGACAGGAGAAGATACTTGCAAAGGAGATTCAGGAGGTCCATTAATGATGTTATACGGTGGAAAGTATTACGTAGTTGGCGTCGTTAGTGGGAAAAGATCAGATGTACCTTGTGGGACCGCTGTACCATCACTGTATACAAATGTTTTTGTATATTCACAATGGATACTTAGTAATATGCAATAAGTAATTAAGAAATGATAACGAAACTTATCCTGTTTTAAAAACATACTATTAATTTCTAATGTTGCTTTAATAATTAAAATGTTCACGTTTGAAATAGATTTTAATTCATAAAATAAAATTTCTAATAATGTTTTTGCATTTTAATGTGTGTTTATGGTGACAATAATAGAAAATGATGATAATTAAAATTACTGTGATTCTACAGACAAAAAAGACCAAACGAGAAATCTTTCATTGAAACACAAAAACCTCAGAATTCAGTCTCTGAAATACAGCTGTGTTTATTCTATTTGAGGGAAATTGACGAATTTCTTAATTAACCATAGATGTAAACCTTCAGGCACAGGCAATTTTAATAAATTGTAATAAAACGTATACCTCCACGATTCAACCTTATACAATCCTTGAGGATTTTCATCGCTGAGGGCTCTAAAGAATGTTTCCATTATATTTTCGTCATTCATAGAATCGAATCTTGTATCGTTCGCAGCTGAACCGAGATAGTTGCAAAGGGTCTTTATTTTCCTTTCATAGAGAACTCTCTGTTCTTCAGACAGATGTTCCACCATATCTTCACCTTGGCTGATTTGATATGATAATAGATTACTGGAATTAACGAAGCCACCTATAATAAAAAAACACACATACACATTTTAATCCTCTTCATACAAGCTTAACAAACAAAACATCCATTGAATCTTCAACTCCATCCCACTCAAAAATAATACAAAATTGCCTACCTGGTATGAACGCAAGGGCGTGTAATCCATGTTGCCGTTGCTCGAGCCGCAAGCTTCGAGTCCAAGCCAGCAAGCCAGCTTTGCTAGCGCTGTAAGGGCCAAAGCCGGGCAACGGCTGCAGCCCGCAGTGGCTTGCCACGTTGATTATACGAGGATTTATTAACCCCTAAAATGATAAACTAAGTCTGTGAACATGAATTGGTTATATTGAAGATTTAATAGCTAAAGTAGAATTGCTAACTAAAATAAAAGAATCTGATTATGTAATTATAGTTCCATGTAACATTTTAAATCATCGAGAAAAAAAAATTCACCGATTAATTTTTTTGTTCTTGCAATCGTAAATTCTTTTACTTGTTATTGTTGTAATTGCAAAAAAGTGTGTTGAAGTTGTATCTAAATAAACTAGATTACCTGTAATCTAGCCTATTTACCTTTTTGATATCTCGATACTGTTAATATTAACGTTAAATTCCAAACACCGTACGACCTAAATAAAATTAATTACAACAAGAACAATAGACGTTGGAAATTATTGCCGTAATCCGATCGTTTTTAATTACCTATCTAACAGGATCGAGATTGAACAGAATATTGTAATATCAAATTGAACTTATTTTTATTAAAAACGTTATTATAAAGCTTGTTTTCAACTTTGAGTAATTTTATATTTATGATTTTTTTAACATGCGGCAATATCTATGTTGCATATATCTTTAAAACTACAATCTTACAGATGGAAGATAGTAATATATATTATCTCTCTGAAGACAATAAGTTTTTATAAAAATCTAAATAACAGAATAATGAGAATGTGTCAAATATTATATCGATACATAATCTGCTTACGTATTCTTTTGAATAACGAAATTGCTAGCAAACATAGCAACTGTTTGAAACCTGACCCTTTAGAAGTGTATGAAAAAGTGAATAATTTGCAATTACATAATCTTTAAAATTATCAATTGCCTCGGTTTTGCTAAGACAGCAGATAGTAAACATATGGTATAACAATTAATTATTATTAAAAGTTATGGTCTTTAATTTCTGACATTAAATAAATAATTATGATGAAATCTTGATTATAGTTTCAGAAAAGCGTTCAGAAGCAACAGTTAATACAAATAGAAACCTTGAAGTGAATTTAAAAATTTAGTGTAATAAATAATCTTACATTTTCTGCACTCTTCCTTAGTTCTGGTAAGAAAGCCGACACGATTCTCATAGCTCCCAATAGATTGACATTGATCGTGTTTTCGATTATTTTCGTAGTTTGCCATTCATAGTCACCAATTGTCATCACCCCAGCATTATTTACAACGGCATATAATTCTAAAAGAAATTTATTTTTTTAAATTACATAGTCATCGACATAATTAAAACGTTTGACGGTATAACTGAAAAATAAATGCACAGAAATTATTACAATTCCCCAGCACTTTTAGAAGTACCCACATCATATTCGTAAAATATAAAACTAAAATTAAACCTTATATACAAGGACTTCTACTTACTACAATTTGGATAATCTTTCATAACATTCTGTACATAATCCCGAAATCCGTTTACACTATCCGTTTTAGTCACATCTAGAGGGTAGGGATGTGCACATATGTTTTTCAAAGCACGTGACGCATCTGTGTCGATGCCTTGATACATTCCTGCAAATGTAAGTAGACCTTCTCTTGCTGAGCGCGCTGCTATAGCCCATCCAAGGCCGCTGTCGCATCCAGTTATCGCTACTGCTTTGGTCCATGACATTTTTTATTCGTGAAAGTACCTACATTAAGAAAAATCATTAAACTAAATAGAAATCGCCCGATTCTTATTATTAATTATAATGTAATGTTTCACTTCGCTACTATTTAAACCTATTCCCATTATTGCTAGTTAGTTACAAGTAGCAATAAACATCAAGGTACAAAAACCTTTAAACTTTAATTTAAAAATGGAATTCCTATTGTCATGGTAAGTATTACTTTTTTATTAACTACATTACATTTAAATATGGAAAACTTACCGTATGTCAAGCGTACTGTGAAGGTTTCTTTAACCAATAAGTTTTTATTATTTTATAAATAAAAAGTGTTTCTATGCAGAAGGCCGCAGTGGTACTGACCCGTGTGCGGAGTATCCCAGCTCGGGATATAAAACGGGTATCAGATATCGTTGCATATGTATACGGAATATCATGTTTGAATTATTCTCGCCCTCAACTACGGTCAATATAATTCAGCATCACAAAAATGCGCATATTTTTTTTACCAAATATACCTGAGTTTTGTTAGAATGCATCCTCATTTTTTAAATACGTACGAGTACAATCAACAGATTTTAAAGACCTATAACATGGTCACAGATATGTAACATATTGCAAAGAAATTGTTTAATATGCTACATTTAAAATGTAATACATTTCGACAAAATGAATATCAAGTACCGACCATCACATATATGGAATAATTCAACAAAGAGACGTCAATAAAAGAGAATCATTTCAGCACGAATACCCAACTGAGAGATTAGATCTATTGAACGGAAACAATCTTGTATTTCTGCTTGACTTCACCAGGAATCAAATCCAGCAGACTCGAAACGTGGCGTATTATACAACATTGATGTTTTAACCCTTAAAAGCCAATAAAGAATAACAAAATTATCTAAACAGTCAAACAAGCTGTAAGTTAAAAATTAAAAATACTTTTCTATTCAGTATTCAGCGTAATTACTAAATTATGCTCTGAAAAATATCATACGAAGTGTCAATTACAAATTGGATTTTTAATATTGGAATACAGAAATTAAAAAAAAAAATAAGTATTTTAAACATTTTAAATGAAAAATAAAGCGCTCTGTGTTACAATTATGAATTTCGAGCCCCAAGTTAAAAAATGATATTCATTTATCTTGCATAAATATTGAAAGCATTTTAAAACGTTTTCAATCTGAAACTGAAATGTGAAACGAATCCTTCCACATTTCAGTTCTGCATCGCAGCCGACCGCGATTAACAAATAATAAATTATTCAACGAATTTAATAATTAACAATGTACGTAATAAAATTTGCTTGCTTCGAAAATATTGCATTCTTTTCAATTTACATCTTATTAATGTTTATCAGTTTTAATTAAAACATTCAACTTTTTCGTATATAAAGCTAAACTGAATATAAAGTCAAACCACGATACCTGTCCAATCAATCGCTAAGATAAAGCCGATTTAGTAAAAAAATACAATGATATGTGCCACTTCGCATTATTCTCTCAATAATTATTACTGGCCAAATTATAGTCTGATAGTACGATGTGTATGTAAAAAAAAAACATTTAGATGTGAATTTGTCGTACGTAAATCTTTTTAATGGGGCGACGCAGGATTGTCCGATAGCACGGTGTCCCTCGCAGCGGGACGTGCGCTAATTGTGACGCGACTCGGATATACCGTCGCCCTCCTGCTTTATTTGTTGCATTGATTTTACATAAATTTACTCGCAGCTGTGATATAGTCTCCCATAGGTTTTAATTTAAAATTAAACCGGATAAACCCTACAAGATTTTTTTTAAATATCACTCACTATATGATAGAGGTTCTCAGTGGGACTCTGAAAAGTAACCAAACCACCAGTGGTCAATAGTTACCCATTTTGTTTTTTCCTAAATTATAAACAGACTTATTACAAAAAAAAGTATAACACAAAAGTACTAATAAAAGTTTCCATAAAATTACATTCCATTTTATCTTCAATTACCTTGTCTGTCTTTATAAAATGGAAGTTGGCAATTTAATAAATAAACAAACTTTAAGTTGATTGTTTTAAAAAAAGATGAAAATGCGAAGCAGATTGTAGAAAAAACGTCATTAACTATCCTAGTACACAATCCAACAGAAGCACCCTCATACGAGTAAACATTATTACCACAACCGAGTCAAGGGAGAGCAGATTTCCCGCGAGGGTACTTTTCTTTAAAAACATAGGTCTGAACGAACGACCAATCGTACAAAATAAGATAAATGTTATTTTAATTCTCACGGTTACAACAAGATGATGTTTTATGTTAAAAGTAAGAAATCTAATCGCTTTATTGCTGGAAACGCTTGGAATGGTTTGGGATGAGAACTAAACTATCTTTTACTTATTTATTGAAAATGGTTAATTTTGGTATTATTGTATTCCATGGCATTGGGTATGTTGCAGGCTTTAAATTTTTTTATTGTCGGAGATAAATACTTCCCATAGGCCCTGCTTATAACCTGCACATATCGGCGAAGAAATTCAAAGACATGTTTGAAATCAATCAACCCGCACTTGGCCAGCGTGGTTGACTATGGCCTAGTCACCCTAGGGTAGACTCCGAGCCCCTCGGTGGGGACGTGCAGTGAGCTGGTGATGAGTACATGAGTAGAATTATATTTCTTATTAATGATCTAAAAGACGAATAGGTAATATTTAAAAAAATGCAAAGACCACACATCAGTGGCGAAGATGTAGTATAAGCTTTTTATGTTATTATCTGTGGTTATCAATTTTCATTTTGTTGACATTGACAAGTATTATATGTGTCTATGGCTTAATGGCTACAAACTTCAAAAAACATTAAAATATTGAAACGGATAAAAGCGATCACATTTTTGTTTCAAAGTGTATTTATGTTATGGCTTTATTTCTATTTGTTCTAATAAATGTGATTTTCAAAGAATAAGTCTAGCATTTCGATACCACCGCGTATTGATTTTTTTCTACTTGATTTCACTTAAAAATGGAAGTTCAATGTGGACAGAACGCTATTGATGAGCCGGTAAAATATGACCATCTAAATTTTATATATATCAGAATATATAAGTATCTTGCAATAAGATGATCCGCATTTATCACCTTTATTTCAGGATCTACTATATAAACTTCAACGCAAGATCAAGGTTTTCAACACAAGCAGCTCTTTACCAAATCGAGGCTACAATTTAGTCGCTAGCTGTAGTAAATATGGCATTGTTTTTGTTCTTGCACCTAATTCAGTATTATCAGGTAATTATCACTTAAAATACTATGATTATTGTAAATCTATCTACAATTATGATTTGTACTGACGTTTATTTTTAAATACTTGCAATTTCTATAACGTCATACAAATTTTCGAAATCATGGTCTTGACTAGTTTAGAGATTGACTTTGACCATTTTGTTTTATTGTATATAACAAAGAAGAGGCCATCGGAATTCACCAAAATAGCTAAGTGACTGCATAGACTTCTAGATTTACAGATGCTTTCCTTACCTTTAATTAACAGAGTACACAATGTACAGAATGAGAATCTTTCCAATATGCATCCCCCTCATAAATGTATATTAAATCTTACATGTCATACAAGGTTCCTCGGAAAAAAACAGTTTTAAATAAACAAAGAAAAGCTGACATTTTAGCCAAGATTAAAAATCATTTTAATATGTATCTTAGTAATATAATATAGAATATATTTCTTGTCTTCCTCCTTCCACAGCCTATTATTTAAAAGATCTGATAGACAAGGAAAGTGAGCCTCATCATGTACCATTAAAACTCCAAGCAGAACCAACCTTTATTGCTGTAAATTGTGATCAAGAATGGTTAGCGGTTATAAGCACAACTATGCTCTTTGTGTATAAGATTCTCGATTTTCAAAATCCGGTAAGTTCCTTCAATCTTAGAACATTATTAATGTAAAGTGGAGATGAATGGATGGATAAATATTACTATGTATTGCCATGCCAATAAAATTTGGCTAAAATCTGGCATAGATGTAGATCTGTCTGCAAGATCTTATAGTCTACTATTTATTGTTTTTATTTAGTCTCAGGTGAAAGCAAGTTATTCAAATTTATAACAGTTTATATATACCCCCTATTAATACATACAGAAATATATCCTAAATTCTGATTAGATTTACATCTCCGACAAACTGGTTTATTAAATGAATTATGTATAGTTATAGAGTTCTCTTTATTTTAATATCTAGAAGAATATTTAATCAGGCATGTTTTGTAAAAAATATTTTATCAAAGAGTTTTTAATTGTTGTACTTTTAGTCAAGTTTTATTGTTTTTTTTTCTTTCAGAATATATCACCATCTTTCTCTATTAAGTTGGATATAAACCCATCTACTTTTGTCTCTGCTGTGCAATGGAATCCTTGTATACCAGACACTATAGCTATCGCATTCTTCGATGGCACTCTACTTGTCAGTCAGGTCACTACCATGCAAGTCAAAAAGATGCAAGCCAATGTCAGGTAAGAATAAAAGCTTATCATTGTTTTTATATTATGTAAAAAATCGACTTCAATTTTAGAAATAAGTTTAATTCATAATGAATATATGTAAAAGTAGAAACCTGTTTATATGAATCAAATGAAAAATTACTTAGTAATCACAGAGATTTAGATTTATAGAGAAGGCATATGCACTTTGCTTAAAAAAACACATTCATCACCGACACTATCTAAATTCTCAAAAGCACATATCAATTGTAAATAATGTCCAAAGTATAGAAATTATAACACTATTTAACAACAGAGGGAGCTTATTACAATTTTTTGAAATGTTTTATTACATAGCAATATAGAAATACAAGCTAGTATACTAAATTTTTCAATAGAAACAGTACCAAAGAAAAAAATTGAGTTCACTTTATCTTGTCTATATATTATTGAATGTCTTTAAATAATCAACACAAAATAGATTGTAAAAGGTGTTTTCACTGATTTTTGCCAGTGAACTCATTTTCATAATTTAAATCTAGTGACATTGTTGGTTGTGAAATATCTAAACAATATTAACAGGTGCATTTGCTGGAGTCCGAAAGGCAAACAACTTGTTACTGGTAACAATGATGGCTCGCTCTGTCAGTATAAACCAGATCTCTCACCAATGAAGATGGTACCAGCCCCGAATCTATTTGAAGGGGCTCCGATTGAAGTCCTAGCGATACATTGGATAGCAACATATCAATTTCTAGTGGTTTACAAACATGCCACAGAAAATGTACGACCAGGTAGAGTCAAGTTTTTCACTAACACATTGTCTTATTATTCCATTATGCATGCTTAATAATAAATGTAAACACATACATTTTATAATTAGGATGTTAACAATCACAGTATGTTTTTAAATCATACCTTTTTTTTTAAATACCCTTAAATGACATGCTATAAGCTATATTTCCATACTATTTAAGTTGGGGGTGAATTTATTGTTAAAAATAAGAATAAAAAGGGACAAACATAAACCAATAGCAGCAAAGAAGCAAGATTACCATGGTAATGGTAATTTTAACATATGACATCTAGCTATCCATGAAGTTTGATATTACTTAGGAAATAGTATCAAATATATGATTGTTGGCCTTATCCAAATGGAAGCTTAGGCCATAGAATCAATTGGCCCAATGGGAAAAAGTCTAATTGGTTTAATTATTTTTTTTTACAGCCGTCACAATTGTCAATACACCGAAAGGTGGCCAGCAATGTTGCCTCAATTTTGAAGATATTTGCTACAGTTTGGGCTCAAATAGACCATGGTATTATTACCTGAATGGATTAATGCAATGGTAAATCAGTTACATATTTACTATTATCTTCATAATTAATACAAATCTCATGTATACATAAAAACGGGCAACCTATTGACTTCCATAAATGCAGTCTCTGCAAATTTCTCTTGCCTCCTTCATAATTTCTTCATATATGTACATTTTTAGGTATCGTAAGTACATAAATAAAATGTTACTATCTCATTGTTTTTATATAATAATCATAGCAATGTAAATTTATAGGAATATGATACTAACATCGTCATCAAATAGTTCGGAGATAGCAACTCTTGCTGCGCCTGATGGATGTAACTGGAAGCAATGGTGTCAGGTAAGTTGTTATAGACCATACTGGAATCAGAATGGAATGTGATAATAAAATATGTATGAATATTACAAACTTCAACAAAAATAAGTGTATACATGTGTTTTAATGGTTTCTTTTACAGATTGATGAAGCAAGACCTGAATTACCTTTGACAGATGGGAATAAAGATAATTATCCAGTTGGCTTGTGTGTTGATACTTGTGCTGTTCATCAACTGCCTTGGGGTAAGTTCGTTAATATAGTTATAACTTACATACTTTTTTTAAGTTATAATTTAGCTTATGTATGTTGTTATAAAGGTACAAATGTATGTAATTAATGAATAAATACAACATTGTCATTGATTTAATGATTTAAATGTTGACCAAATACCTAGAACATACTTTGTCTTTTTTGTTAAATCTGCATTGCCCTTAGTAAACGTTTAACAGTTTTTGTGCATAAAAAGCATATTTTAATGAATTTCATTAAAAATAAATAGACGAGTTCAAATAGTATAGATTTGATCTAAGATGTGTAGAAAATTATATTTTAATAAGAATTTTTATTATCTTAATTGGTGTTAAAGAAATTGTCATAACTCCCATATGTGTAGTAATATGAAAGAGGAAAGATTAGTATTTTTATATGTATCAAAACTAGATCAATTTAAAAATGTAAGCTATGTTTATTGCTAGATTTTTAAATACCGTGCAAAAATATAGCTTGTTATTTTAAACCTAATATTAATATATTGTTAAAAATTTCGATACTAATGACTTTTTAAAAAAGTATGATAGTCGAGCGGTAATATGAGTAATACTGGTGAATTATTATGAAACGAACACACTAAGGCAACTACGTAATAGATATCGAATGTTCCGTGGCGGCGACCAGAAATGTACTGAGCTACTGAGCGACTGAGGGAACTGCGGTACTGACGGCTAGAGAGCTTATTAGCGACTGAGTACAATGGACTAAGCGACTAAGGGCGCCTCAATCCTTGCAATAGACTTTTATGAAACTACCGCCAATACTACTTCCGTTTCTATTATTTTGTAACAATATATTATACATGTTCAATAAAATAATATAAATTGTTTATGTTTTTATGTCCTTTTCTTTGTATATTCCAGGTGAGAATGACACATTGCCACCAATGCCACTACTCCTGGTGCTATCCCATACTGGGATGTTGTCAATTTTCAATATCATCAATTTAAAGAAGGATGCCGCGGTGTTCTGCACTCCGCCACAGATATTAACATTACCTAATAATGTTATGACAAGGTAAGTAAAAGAAAAGAAAAAAACGGTTAAAAAAGTAAGGGGAAAATTGACGGGAATATTTGTGTCAATATACACCTTTTTCTAATATCTGTGAAATACGTGTTATAACTATTAAAGAAAAGATTTAATCTGTTTAGTTATTTTTCTATTCTGTTTTAATAGTTTTAATTTTAATTCCAGTTCTATTCCTGATGATGTTCCACAGTCTGTGCCAGTTACACACTCTGCTCCTGTCGTTCAACAGCCGGTATGTTTTTTTGCTTTACTACAAACATGTAAAATAACCATATCTTACTAATATAATAAATGCGAAAGTTCAAATGGATGTTGGTTAGAGTTTACCACCTAAACTCTAGAGCGAATTCCAATGATGTTTGGTACATATGTAGAACAGTCTGGAAGAACACATAGGCATATTTTGTTTTTTATATTTACACGCGGATGTAATCGCAGGTAAAAGCTAGTTACATTTAAAGATAGGTATTGCCAATGACACTGTCCGTTGAGAATTTAAATTAAACATAATAAATAGTCTATGATGTCAAATCGTTTTAGAGATACATAGTAATAAATATCCATCCAAACTTTCGCATTTATATTAATAAGATTACTGAAATTGTGAATTAAAATAAATCTTTGTATTTAGCAACCACAACCATTGCAACAAATTCAAGCACCAACTCCCGTCCAGCTTGCAGCGGGGACTCAGCTCGGGCTAGCAGATACTAACGTCACTGTACAACAGATACCCAAATCTCAAGCTGCACCAGGATTACCTGGTAAATAATGTTTATCTAGTAATCTACACTAATATAAACACTAAAAAAATACTTAAACTTGTGGAAACCTGACTTGAGCTAAGCTAAACCGGTGTTAAGTAATGAATCTTTATAACTAGCTTTCACCCGCGACTCCGTCCTTGTGGTATTGGAAAAAACAAAAGTGAATAGCCTATGTGTTCTTCCAGGCTATCTTCCACATGTATGCCAAATTCCATCGGGATCCATTCAGCCTTTTAGCCTACGAACTCTAACATCCATCCATACATCCATCCATCTAAACTTACACATTTATAATATTAGCATGATTGATTTTTACTCATAATAAGACTATTAATATACCATATTGTAATAGAAAGTATAAATATTCAGTTTCAGTAACAATGTTAATATACTATTTTTGTTCACAGCCGCTCCGCCACAGATTCCAGAAGTAAAGCCGATTGAAACAAAACCTCAACCGCCACCTCCTCAAAATATAGTTACATCGGTAAATATAATCTATTTAATTAAACACTTAAAATACTGTCAAAGTGAAGATATTTATTTTCTCGGGTTTAATTAAACGTTTGTTTTCTATAAATAAATTCAATAGAAATGTGAAATTATAAGAAACTAGCTGTTACTCGCGACTTTGTCCGCGTGAAATTAGAATAGTAGTAAATATATAGATTACTCAATAATAATATAGCTTTTTAATGGTGCAAGAATTTTTGAAATCAGTCCAATATTTTTTGAATTATTTCAATACATACAAAAATCCAAAAATCTAAAATTTCAAACCTTTTCTCTTTATAATATTAGAATAGATATAGAGAAGAGTTATAAGGAGGATAGAGGCACCCCATGACTAGTTTTCTATTTTCTATTTCAGCCCCTTTAAACAAAATAATATTCGATTATCGCTTCATAGAAACGTAATAAATATATGGAATTGACAATAACTTTTAAGACACGTTCTTGTCACGTTATTCCAATACATTTTGACATATTAGTATATTGTACTAGCAATATTACTACGGTACACCTTAGACTAAACTATCGCACAACTGATGTGCGATTGTCCATTGTTTCGCAGCCAATTCAACTGTTTAGTTGCACAGCTAAAAATCGAGTAGTGTGCGCACCTCCAAATAAGCTAAAAGGAATTAACAAGACTAAATAATAAATAAACTTAATAAATATAATATAACTAAATGATAAATAAACAAAACTAATGCGATAGTTTAGTAAAAGGTGTGCGCACACTCTAATAGAAAATTACTTCGTCTAGAGTTCATCTTAATTCGTATTTTCTATCACTTTTCAGACTCCTAAACCAACGAAAGTGGAAATATCTGAATCTCCAATACAACAGACACAAGAGATAAACGCTGCACTCAAAAGTGAACAGGAGAGAGTTAATAAAATCAAATTTAATGAAGAACTGATGAACATGCTTATTCGAGAAGTTAATGATTTCCAACTGGAATTATACAACTTTCAAGTGAAATCCAGAGATGCTCATATAATAGTAAGTAACATTTGTTAAACACTGTTTAGTTGAACACATGTTTTAACTCTGACTACACTGTTTTCGCATGTACTAGTTTACTAGCTACCGTCGTGCGGAATTAAAAAAAAAACTAATTAGTCTGTGTTCTTATGTAATGCTTTACATCTATGTTAAATTTAATCGGAATCTATTTAGTAGTTTTGAAGATACCTTCTAACATCCATCCATTTACAGTTTCGCAATAATTTTAGTAGTTAGAAAAGTTAGATTATTTATGACTAGCTGTTGCAGAGACTTCGTACGCGTGGAATTAAAAAAAAGTAAAAAAGCATGGCTTTTGTTATTCAATGATAATAATTAACCTTTAGTGGTGAAAGCATTTTTGAAATCCGCTCAGTAGTTTTCGAGTTATTTCATTTTAGTACACTCCTAGTATAGAAGTATATATTAGTGTAAGCCTCGTCTAAAAAAAATTACAATCTTCACCAATAAAGGCTTTATTTTTATTATTATATATTAGTATGGAAAAATAAAAAAAAATCTTGTTTAAATTCCAGTTGCAACAAGAGATAGAATCAATGGGATCTAATATGAACATAAAATCTCAAGATGCGATACAGTTGAAGAATGACAGCGCGGTGAGAGAGATACAGGAGAGTGTGGGAATGTTGAAGTTGGAGCTCGTACGTATATGTGGAGCGGTGGCTGAGGCTCGCACACGCGCTGAGTAAGTTAAAATATTTACAACTAGGTGTTCCCATGCGATTTCATCCGCATAGAATTAGAAAAAAAAATCATTTTATTGCTTACATTTGTCAAGTTATCAATCGCAATTGTCAAAATGATATAACATGATGTCAAACCATGGCAACCTTGCTTCCTTAATGTTGGCAACAACTTATGGTCTCTTTCCCACATTAGGGTTTTCATCCAAAATATTTTCCTTTAAGTTTAACGGCGTGAAAATATATAGCCTAAAGCGTGACGTTAAGTGTAGGGCTTTTTATTAAACAAAGAGTTATTCGAAAATATGCTGTAATTGCTGACATCTTAGACAACGTTAAAAGTGTGTCTTTACGCTTTATTATATTAGTATAGACTAGCTGTTGCCCGTGACTCCATCCGTGCGGAATTAAAGTAAGTAGACTATCATCTACATTCCTGCCAAATTTCAACGACATCCGTTCAGCCGTTTTGGCGATAAACTAACAAACTTCTATCAATCCGTCTAAACTTTTGTATTAATAATAATAGTAACTAGCTTTCGCCCAAGACCCCATTCATGCGGAATTTAAAAAAAACAAATGCAATTAGCCTATGTGTTCTTCCAAAATCTCTACATCAATGCCAAGTTATAAATATCCGTTCAGCAATTTAGGCTACAAACTAACAAACACCTATCCATCCATCCATCTAAACATTCGCATTTATAATATTAGTATGATTATTAGTATTATAATATGGAATAAACACTATAAAATGATTATTTCACCATATTATTTGTAACAGGACAAGGCAAATGCAGGAATGGAGTCAAGCGGATCCTCTGACGATGAAGCGCATGTCCGCAGTCAAGAAACTCGCCTACTACGTGCAGACACAGCTCGACCAAGCGCACAAAGCGTTAGATTATAAGTGGAACGAAATGTCTATACATAGACAATACGAAAGGCAAGTAAAAATATATTTTTTCATAATGTTGTTTGTAATATTAATTTTCAGACAATTTATTAAATTCATTTTTGTTCAATTTCACTAACTAACACTTATGCTGTGATTACAAAATAATAATTAGAAAATTTCATAAAAAATCTTTCAAAAAAAGATAGTATTTATACAGACTAGTTTCAATATTCTTAAGTTAGATATTTCCACAAATGACTTTAAAATATAGACGGACGGACATAACAATACTTGTCAATTACTTTAAAACATACATTTATACATTTATTTTGATTTCGACTATATTAAAGTTTATTGTATAATTTAGACCTGGAGAGCGAATGCTTCGACCAATATTGGACGATATCTACCAACCTCTTGTGAAACAACAAGAAATACTGACCCGACAGAAGGCGGTGCTCAAAGCATTGAGGAATACATTGAGAGAGTGCAGCGACGTTGCACCCATTATGAAATCTACATCCATTTTGAGAAGCACCCCATTCAGAAACAAAATGTAAGTTTACCTTTGTGATGATTGATTTTAAATGTTTGGTGTTTTTTTGGAAATGTCTTATAATAATATTATGTAATGTTCTCAAAAGCATTACTTTATTGTAGATACTAGCTTTAATGTTAAAAAGAACTTAATAAGTGGATTATTTTCTAGATCTGAGCCAAATTTCATCGCAATTCGTTAATCTACTTTGAAGATATGTAGTAACAAACATCGATCCATCCATAATTTCACATATGTAATATTAGTATGATTACAAGATATAACTAGAAGTATATTATTGCAGTGATCCACTCTCCAAAGTAACCAGAAGCATCTACAATATGAGTTTGGAGCCAGAACAAGATTATAGAGAACAGATGATGTCAAATCAGAAGCTTGACGCGTTACGGGATATGCTGTCAAATCACAAAACTGTCAAAATTAAAC